TCCTGTAAGAAATCCTCTAAGTCTGATTTCACCATTCACAGTTAAGAGTTGATCTTGTGAAGAACCCTTCTAAACGAGAGTCTTTAAATAAAGCAAAATATTCATAAGTAAAATAACTTAGTACGTAAACACGTGACAAGAAAAATTCAAAGAGATAAAGGTAATAAATGGTGAACTGGTCCTCACATTTTCACATCTCCAGGTCTATCTTTTATTATTTTACATGTTTACATCTTTCTCCACAACTAGTGTTCACAACTGAGAAGGGATAACTGAAAATATTACAGCACCTAAGATCTGAGGGGCAGAGGAGAGACGGGAGGAATGATAAGACAATATCAAAGTTCGTCGTGGGGTATTTTCAAAGCGTGGTCACAGAGGTCTGTAGAGAACACAAGACAGAAATACAGTGAAAGAAACACAGTGAGTTTAAATACAGATGTTGCAGTGGAAAACAGTAAGATGAATTTACAAAAGACAGTAAAACTGCATTAAACATAAAAAAACATACCTGTCCTCTTGCTGCAGAGTTTGTCTTTGACATTGTCTGTCTCATGAGCAAAGAATTCTATGATTTCATCCTCATTCTGCTCAACAATCGTTTCACACTGGAGAAATAAGTTTTAAAAAACAAAACAATGTAAGAGGCTGCACAACTCGCATAAGAAGCCACAAGATCTAGGTATGTGGGTAGCATAAAAAGTATTCTAGTTCAGACAACCTGTTCATTTCCCTTCACAGCAACAATAGAACCAGAGTAATTGAAATCCAAACATAAGATGATGCCTCAAAAAGTAATCAAGCAGAATTTATTGGAGGGCAAAAATTCTACTCACTGCAAATTTTAGACTGGATGTAACTCTTGAATCTAGCGTGGCCTCCGACAGGTCCATGGCTTCACCACTTCGAGATTTTATCCTTAAGTAGGAATGTCTGTTTGTGAGAGAATCTTTGTGCTCCCCATAGTCTTCCATCCTCTCACAGACATTTTCCATCAGCTCAAGGAGGTTTCTTTCTGAGCGAGCCAGAGGAATCTGGTGGCATAACAAAAAATCTGAATTAAAGAAGACGTGAGGGTAAAGTATTAAATTCATAAACAAACAAGTTTAAAGTTGTATAAGTGCAAGCAACAAATAATTCATTAATTAATGTGCCAGTATCTGATCAAAGAATAATAACACGAATGTCACAGTCTGACCCAGGTAGCTTCTTACAAAACCAATATACATATATTGAGGTTAAGCCAGACAAAATGCCCAAATAGTGGTCCTCTCACTATCAGATATTAGCAACAGGTTGTTATATTTATCTGCAGGACAGAGTCCAAGAGAAATTTCCCTTTGGGGAAAATAAAGTACATCTGATCTGATCTTATTCTGGATAATGTTGAATGCTATCTAATCTGCAGACTTATTTCTCTATTATTATTTTTGTTAATGTTATATGTATTTAATAAACATAAAAAGCATTGATAATTGATCATAACAAATTATTCAGTGTCTTGTTTCTTCAAAAAAATAACAGTCCAAAACTGAGACATCTTTTTCGTTTACTACAATATAAGAGAGAGAACAGCAGCAACACCTCCTATCTTTGAAACATTCATCTTAAAAAACAAACTTGGTTGGATGTGGGTGTTTGTTTTCAGAAGTAGCCTTACGAGCCTACATTCATGTGTACAGTAGTGGGTGTGTTGTTGGACACAGATTACTACGTGGCCGTGTTTCTGCATTACCTCCCTGATCGACTGGCTTCCGTCGGGGTTGATCCTGAAGGACCCCGTCTGAATCATTTTCTTTGGATCTATCTGGGAAATGGCCCACTCCATCTCATCTACGAGAGCCCTGCACGCTGCGGGAAGCAAAGAAGACACCTTAGGGCTTGTTTTTCCTGTCTTTGAGAACGGAACACAGAGAGTGAGGCTGAGATAATAACAAGTACCTCCACATCTGATGTCCTGTCCTTGTCTGGCTGCTTGGCTGCAGCTCGGGAGGAAACACAGAAACACACACGACGCGAGCACAAGAGCCACTTCTCTCATCTTGCATCTGAAACACAGGTTCCATCACAATCCAAGCTGACACATCGACCGGCCACAGACTCGATCAAGTGTCAGTCATCACATATCTCTTTGTACACCTCTCGCTTAAACAATCTTCATGCTCGACTACTATGGAGCAAGAGAATGATTCAGACACAGAAAAAAAAAAAGACACCATTTTGCAAACTTTTCGTTTTACTTACAAGTTTCTTGCCGTGTTTTCGACGTCACGCTTTTCCACGCTGTTCCATAGCATTCGGTGAAATGTGGTGACGTAGGTAACGGAGCTGCTGGACAGGATGGGGCCGTGCTTGAGACAGCGCCCTCGCGTGACCAGGAAGCTGCATCCGATTTGCCGTTACCATGGCAACCCTCAAACCTGTTGAAAGTGGGCTGCTTGTTTAAAAGCTTTGTTTAAATTGAAGCCACGGGGGGTGGGGGGGATTCAACAAGTGATATTAAGAAATACAATCTGAAGAAGAACTTGAGAAAGTGACATGAGAAAGGAAATGTCAAATGTTCTCCAAATTGTAAAAGAAAGAGCAACATGTAACATGTAATTCACTAAACTACATCTTACTTTACTGTAAAGTCGACATTACTGCGGCTGCTGCTTTTTGAAACTTCAACCTAAGTAACTATTTTGTATGAAACTATTAAAAAAAAACATTTACACAAATACAAACAACAAACTGAATACAAACGCAGTGATGTGTGAGTAAAACTGAGTTTGGTGTGTGAGAGAGGAACTACTCATGAAGTGTGCCACGACCTCCTGCTGTTGTATCGTATCATGCTTATCATGTGTTCAGGGGGCAACATGGCATCCTCAACAATCACTCTGGGGCTACCGTATTACATAATGATTATTTCACTGGTGAATTTCAAAGCACATGATGGTACAGATAAAATGAACAATGCTTCTGCTCTATTCAAATTCAACTTGTTATCCATCATAGTGTGACAGTGAGACACTGTCTGAAGCAGCTGATTCAAACTCAATTATCTTTAAAATATGTTGACAATGTGTTTGAACTACTGCTGTATTATACAAATACTGATATGACAATAAACACTTAATGTGATGATAAAACGTTGCAGGCAATTCAATAGATATTCTAAGAACACTGAAGCCATTACAAAGTAGAAAATATGTATAATTAAACATATACTGTTTTTTAAAATATATTTATGAATAAGAAGAGACACTAAATGTTCTTTAAGTTTCCTTTATCTGAAGAGCAGCAACACAACAACAGACACGTTTCAGCACTAGGCCTTCATCAGCGTTCATGTTTTGCTGCTCTTACCCAGATAAAGGAAACTTAAAAAACATTTAGTGTGCTGCTGACTTTGTGTCTCGTTTTAGTCTTGTTGCAGTCGAGCACCTGAAACTGGGTTTACTGTCGAGTGTGCTCCTTTTTTTGCTATTAATGAATAAGACTCAATATTCAACCAGAGAACAATTGACTGTCTAATAATATTAATTAAAAGAACAGATTATACACATTCAAAAACCATAAAGATTTTTAGGGCAAAAAGGTTAAAAGATACTTTTTTAATGATTCATTTTTTTTACACAAGAAAAAAACATTGTCAAAATATGACATTTATGACATAATTTAAAACAACACATCTGATGACATCACTACTCTCTTCGTCTTTAGAAACACTTAATCATAAAATACAACTTCATCAGATTAATATGAACCTCACTTACAATACAGTATGGCATGTTCCTGTCTGGTCTTTGAAATCAGTACAAACAAGTGTTTTCAAACTCAGACACTTTCTAATACTTGAGCTTACAACAAATTATGTTGTAATCAAAAGAAGATATATCTGAGGTATTTTTTCCATAGAATTCACTGGAAACAAGTTTGAAACACAACCTGAGGTTCATATGTAGATGAACTCGTGAATAACAAAATGCCTTTATCCTGCAGAAAAATAAGTTAAAAGATTGTTGAGTCATTTCATTTATTTTTGTTGCTTTAAATTACAACTTGAACCATTTCTTTAGTAATTCAATGCAGGTTTGTAATGATTAAAAAGTGCTACTAAAAAGAATTGTTGTTTAAAAACGTGGCTTTTCACATGAGAAAATACTTTTAGGCAAAAATAAAATAGTTTTTCCCAATGACAAATTTTGGTCTTCCAGAAAGTATGATGGCAAGTGCAGAACACAGTGAAGCCCAAGAAGGCCAATTAGAAAATGTAATAGACTTTCAATAAAGATAGTGAAAGTTGGAATTGTTGGACGTAACACAACATGAGCTATTTGAAAAAGCTTGTTACCGTTTCTAACTGAATAATGAATAGGCACAGGGTGAGCACAGGAGGCACTGTGGTGGTCTGCTCAGCTCACCCCCCAGTCCCCCCCCCCCCCCCCCCCCCCCCCACACACACACACTTATCTCAGATATTAAAAGCTCTAATTTTCTGTAACAGAGTGCACTTTAATACACATCTGCACAAATTTGGCATTATAAGGTAGACATTTCACAGAAAGCTGAAGCTAAATTCAATTAAAAACAAACTAAACTAGATGTTCACACTGCATTTAAGTCAAAGTAGCATTTAATACAAAATAGAAACTACACATGAATATACAAATCTTGAAGTGAACAGACCTAAGCTTAACAGTGAAGAACATAATAAAAAATGTAATTAAAAAAATTGGAGCTACCAAACGATTATATTCTCATGGAGAATACTGATAGGAGACAGGCTGAGAGACACTGGACTGAACATACTTCAAGCTGTCTTATTTGCTACTACAACTGGGGAGAATCCAAAATCAATCAATTATTATTAAATAGGAATAAAGATTCTAGATTTCATTATTTATAATTTAATCTAATACCAAAAAACAAGTAATGGTTTGATTTTCATATTTTTTGTTCTATCTAAAAAAGTAAATGAAAAAACAGGCCATTTTAATATTTAATTTGTCCTATTTTTTTGTGTTTTGCCAAGGAAAGCATGCTGAGAATTGCATGCACCTCACCGGAGCTCACACAGCTCATGAGATTTATGGCACAGCTCGAAAACAATATACTCTTCTTCATGTGGGTTGATCAGTGAGGAGAAATTATGAATCTGTCATCTACAAAACACAGGGAAAACTGTGTATTATTCAATTTAAGTACTAGGTATAGTTTTCTACTTTTACATTGTTATTCTAGTGTCCGTTATCACAATGAATTGGTCAAATTTCAACATTAAGATGATTGTTTTAAACAGTTAAGATTTTATCTTAGAACCAGGGCTGCGGTTTGGTACCGACCAAACACAAAAACACATTCTCACTTTGAGATGATGTGTGACAAATTGGATTTACTTTGTCACAAGCTAAACCAGGGAGCAACTGAATGTTTAAAAACAACTTAATTAAACACATGTCTGTCAATGCTGAAACCCTGAGGCCATATTCGAGGTCCAAAGCAGCTTAAGTGCAACACTGGCCTAAAAAAAAAGACAGCAGACTGTTTCTCTGAACTCAAGACTCCAGTCTTTTGATGATGTAGAAATTTGTGTTTATAATTTTGCAACTTCTAAATGCAGAGTAGAAGTAAGAACCTGGTTGACACCTATTAACCAAAGTTATGGTGTCGTTAAAGATATGTGATTATAGATGCAATCAAAGGAAAACAGGACGCATTGAACCTCAAGATCTGCTTGTTTTTTTTTTCTTTTTCTGAACCATAATAAGTTAAGTGTCAAAGTTACAGAAACATTATTCGGTGAAACATGTCCCATTATTTGCAGGATTCTTACTTAGCTTAGGTTGCAGAGATCAAACTACCCTTATTGTTTTAATTAGCATACCAGACATCAGTGTGTGCATTATCTGTGCTGTAAGGACACTTCATATGTAAGGCACAGAGAGGTGAAGACAGACCTAATATTTACAGTCTATGAGACAGACACATACTGGCCGAGCTCTGATGGTCCCACGTTGGAGGCAGCTCATCACTGCAAGTCTTCCTATCTTTCAACCACTGTGTCAGCGTCCATGTCGTTTAGTAAGTAAATGTCTGTGTGCCGCGACAGCCCCAACTGCATTTGAAACAGAGAGAAGAGACAGATGTGTCATCAATGAGAGTTTTTAACGTTCATCAGGACAATTAGATTTGTCAAAGAATATTCATTTGCTTGATTTTGCCACAATTCTGAGTTTTTCAACTGATTTAAGATTTTCAATAGAAAACTGATCATGAAAATGACATAATTAAGAAAATGCTGTTTTATCCGTGTTGTATGTTTTTTTTCATTGAAATATATGTACACATAGACAGCAGAGTATCAAGTGTAAGTGGTCATTTTCTTTTTTGTTAGACGGTAATGTGCTAAAGTTGACGCTATACAAATAAAAAATGATTGATTGATTGATTGATTGATTGATTGAAATTGAAATAAAAACATGTGAAGCAGGAAAAAGCACAATGAATGCTATTTTAATCAGAGGGAAATATGTTCACAATTTAAGTATGATTGTTTCTGTAATTATAGCTTTATAAGTGCTCACCTTGGGTCAAAGTGATATTTTCCAAACTCAACTTTCCTCATTTAAATCCAGGAAAGTCCTGCAAAAGAGAATTCTACTGCCTACCATGGTTTTCTATCATCCCTGGTTAGATTCATGTGAAATGAAATTCCATGAAATTTCACCCTTTAACTCTATGTAATTTTCTAGATTACACAATGTGTGAAACCCATTTTTTAACTAGATTTACATCTTGCTACAAAACATGAGTCATCCAAAGATTTAGCTCTGTAGTTCTCATTTTAATTTTTCTAAATGGAAGGTCTGTTTAACACCTTCACATTCATGCTATACTATTTTCACAACTACAAACTCATAATCTTTCTACAGACATTCATACAGCAGACGCCAAAAAATGTCCACACATTATTTCCCATTTATTTTGAACACATTTTGTGCTTTATCCAGTAGCAACAACAGACATGAATCATTTGATCATGAAGAGCAGAAATGAGTGATTACTTCAGTGCACACTATACACTTTCCTCTGTAACAGTACAAATGTGCTTTAGCCATGTTTTTTTTAATTTTATTTACTGCTGGAGAGGTATTCTTAGGACCCTTCATGAAGTCACAGTAAGTCAAATAACATCAAGTTACATTTCTATCACCAGTATGAAAAAGTTGAGGAGGAGTTTCTGAAAACTCTGAACCAAAGACCTGCAGCTGTACCGAACAATGCAGTTAACATTAAATACAATGAACCAGAGATCTTTGCAGTGATGACTGTATGAACATATGGGTGTGCTGGTTGGTACTGTATGTACATCTTGCTTGGATATTGCTACACTTGGTGCTTAAGTACAGTAAACACAGTCTATTCCCAATATTTTTGATCTTAATTTATTTCACAAGCTTGATAATATTTAATCATTCTGAGATTTGATTCCACATTTCAACATAGCTTTGCTGCCTTACAGCTGCTCACATGTTACACCATGTTAGTTGGACTAGGCTGTTTGAGGGCTGAAGGTGCAGAATTAATTCTCAGAGGTAACACACTGAGTGTGGAAACATCGGCACTTGGCTTTTCTTATAATATAAATATGAAAAACAAAATCCCTTAACAAACATGTATGTTTGTTGTGTAAGTTAAACAGACAATGTATCTACAATAAATATATGTATCGTAAAGTAGAGTAAAAATGTTAAAGGGGAGAACAACTATTCCTGTTAGGTCTAAAGAGAGTCGTTTCATAATGCTGGACATGCTGCAGCTTCATTAACACAAGCAATATACAAGAAATAGCAAAGACATTTTCTTCATTTCAATTAATCTGAACAGGGTTTCTTCACAGATCAGTAGTATTTTTGGGCTTTCATTTAAAAAAGGACTGCATTCTGGGCTCTTAATATGGCGAAAAACTTAAGATTTAGGGCTCTACTTGACTTCCTTGGTACTTGAATTATTTGAGCTTTTATTGACTTTTGTTTCCAGTCCTCCTTTAAAACCCGGATTGTCCAACAGGCAGCTCCTCTCCTTCTCTGCATAGCAGCATAGCTATCTTCATAAGCTAGCTATCACAAGCTTTCTTGAAACAACTCTGTAATATTACAATTCCTTTCTGTCATCCCTTCATCCTTTAGCTTAAAGGGTTTCTTAAATGAAAGAAGTACTTTTCTTCTTTCACTTAAGAAATGCAAACAAACAAATCAACATTTATACAGATTATTTTTTTATCCAACAACTGAAACAAGAAAGTGCAACACGCTTTTCTCTCTTTTTCCTTTTATACTGAAAAGTTCACTGTGAACACCTTTGCTCACTTGCTGCAGTTCAACCTGAGTCACCCTCAGAAGCTGAGTATGAGGTTGTTTGCTAAAGTTAGTTCATGTAACGAGCTAGTGAAGTAGGGTCACGATCACATCAAAGTAGCAGTCTTCATCAGAGCAGCCTCATCATTTATATATATATATAGATATATTTACATTCAGCTCTCCGACAGCTATGATCATTTATTCAAGCCAGTCATTCAAACTCAGATTTTAAAAAAAACCTTCTTTCATTTACTTGTTTGCCTTTGCCTGATGTAAAAAGACTGCAGCTTGGTGAAGTGATACTTGAACTTTTCAGTTTTGCTTCTTGAAACTTTAGACAGGAATCAGGTCGCAACATCAAAACCCCTGACCAGAAGTTTTTTTTAAACGATGAAAGCTCAACATTATTTGGTGATTTTGGTAAAGATAGTTGGACTGAAAAGTAGTTTCATGTCAATTGATAACAACTTAACTCTTTTAAAATGAATAACTGTCAGATGGTAATATGCAGTGAGTCAAACTGCTTTATAGAATAGATAATAAGAGGATGTTGAGGTAGACTGAAGATGGTGTATTGCAGCTAGAATGTATACATGTTAATTTATCAATACTGAAAAGATTAGGTAGATATTAAGATCGGCCTTTACTGAATATAAACGTATCCTTGTTTAGTTTTTCAGCAGGAATGCATGAACCATGAACATTTTACAGAAACGGATCATTCATATCATTTATATTTTTTTCTCTTGATCTCAATGCTGGCCAGAACATTTTAAAAAATACATTTGGAAGTTTTGAAATCCTGATGAATATGAACTTTACTGTGGCTTACATGTGTTCTTTGTTCTACTCTGCCTGTTTAATGAATTTGCCACAGTCAGGATTGCTAATGCATTATCAATAATCATTTGAAACTCTATGCATGAACTTCAGTTTATATCCTGCCTTTTTCTCCCAAAGATGACCAAAGTGTGCGACAAAACAGAGACTGTTGGCAATTGCTAAGATGCTGAGGTTCTTTTTATAGTATAGCTGACAAACATTAATTCTAGATAGCGATATTATTTATGGGTTGCCTTAATGGTTTTTCATGTGTCGGCTGATGTATTTAAATCTCCTGATACGTTTGAGTCTTAAACACCAAACACTGGCATTAAATCTTCTATGCTGGTGTGGTTTTATCTGACTCTCTACTAGGTACCTTTAAAGCACCACATTGAGACCCCCAGCCCTACAAAAAAGTACACCAGACATAAGCAGGCATTGTACTCTCAAGATCCTACATGATCTTGCAGAATCCTGTTCAATACATGGCTCAGAGTCTCCGAGAGGAAAGAGGAAGGCTGCCTGGTAGTGTCCTGTTCAGTTCTAGGAGTAGGACTCAGACCGCTCCTCTATTAACACAGCACGTCTCTTGCTTACCCGGCTGCCAAAGTCCAGGCAGGAAACCCCCAAGGCAATCAAACAGTACCAAGCCTACGGACAATGACAGAGGGGAGAAAAGTCAAGACACAACAGTGTTTGTGCAGAAGATATTTGGAATTATTTTCAAAGTAAAATCTGAAATCTGAAACAATGCACATAAATATCATATTTATTTTAAAATAAAATATATCTGTGGGGCGCTGGTGGCGCAATGGTTAGTGCGCGCGCTGTATGGCAGCTGTAATATCCAAACGGGCGGCCCAGGTTCAAATCCAGCCTGTGGCTCCTTTCCCGCATGTCATTCCCCACTCTCTCTCCCTGATTTCCGACTCTATCCACTGTCCTATCTCTCCATTAAAAGATCAAAAAGCCCAAAAATAAATCTTTAAAAAAAAAATATATACATCTGTATATTTAATGTATTAGCCAAGTGATCTGTTTGATTTGATATATTTAATGTGATGATTTCTGTGCTAATGCTTGTATGCACAGCAAACTGCAGACCAGTATGAACTTTAAGTATGAAGATTAGTTATGTATTCATTGAAAAAAGCTTCATCATATTCACAGACAACTGTACTTGAGATGATTCATTTATAGGAGATAACATAATGTTTAAATGTTCTTACTTACCAGGTAGACGACAAAACACAGATAGGCAACTGAGAGGAGGGCAGCGACAACGTAGAGCAGCGTACTGTTCAGTGTTGTGACATAAATCACCACAAAGTATGTGTTGATTGCACAAACCACCAGGATGATGACGCTCCCGGAAATCTTCCACACCCTAAAGACACAGAAATTATATTAAGACAGAATGTTTTTTCCCAACTGTTTACGTACCTAGTTTGCATATTTTATTTTTGGCAAATCAACTGCATCAAGTCTATTTCCTTTAACAACTCATCACAAGACTTTATCTGTCTTCATGTTGGAGGAACATCCAGTACACTCAGCTGACAATGACACATAAAAAGACGTGCCATTTCCCTTCTCTCTTTTCAGTAGATTTGACTTTTTATCCTAATAAATATCCTGAAAACATAAAGACTAGATTTTGTCTTTGCGCTTCAATATTTGGCTTTGAATAGTTTGTGATGAAGGATCTCCAATCAATAAGCCCTAGTCTCTAGCTGCTGTGATTTTTTGGAATTGAAGCAGAAGCTACGGCTTTTAGAGATGTACAGTAGATGAAATTATCAGTATGACAAATATCTCTCTGCTTGACATTTTGAGATATTTATGTTTTTTTTTAACCTGCAAGATCTAATCTCACAATGAATCATTTTAATGAACAATGTAATACTAACAACCTGAAGAATACAGCTAACAACCCGATCATGTATTCCAGAGGCATGATAAAGTCAAGTATGAGAAATCAAATAATAAAAAAGGGGTGAGGGGGGTGGGTAGAGATAAAAGTATACGTTCACTCACAATCCATTAGCAAAGTCGCTCATTATGGAGGTCATACTGGTGAAGGTCAGGATTGGGATCAAAGCAAATGGAAGCTGTTGACCACAAAGAAGTCACACTAATTATTCAATAGGAAATTCACTACACAACAACAAGAACTGTCAGTTTATGGCTCGTTTAAGAAGAGCTTATTAGTACTTTTCTTATGATTGTGACTTCATGGTAAAATGGTTCTTCCTGACCTGCATGCTTTGTAGAACATTGAGGAAGTCGTTCATCCCCGTCAAGTGCTGAACATCCTGAAAAATGGCCACCAGAAGAGTAGGCGTGATGGCGATGGAGCGCGTAAGCAGCACCCGTGCAAACCGGGACCACTGAAGGTTCAGGAAACCCTGATCAAGCATGAAGGAAAAATCTGAGCACACTCATCATTTATTATTATTTTTTTAAATAGTAACTTCAAATACTTATTCACACCTCCATTACAAACTGCCCAGCGTAAGTGCCCGTCATGGTGGAACTCTGTCCAGCTGCCAGGATCCCGATTGCCCAGATGTAAAGGGCAGCAGGTCCAAAGAAACAGCCAAGGACCACCCCCTGATCAAAAATAATCAGAAAGTTAGCCTCTCTCTCTCTTTCCACTAATCTATGCATTAAGAGCTATACTTTTGACAAAGAGTTGTTCAAATTACACAAACACACACCACGTACACAACATTTGAGTACTTAGTTAGTAGCCTAACTTCAATTTACACCAAATGAAATCAGCTAGAAGAACCTAAAAATACTAAATACCTGTGTGTTGTGCAGAATCTATGAAAACAGACTTTATGTTGCAACCTGTGTTTGTAACAATTGTTGCCCAGCAAAAATGCAAAAAAAAGGTTCTTCTATCGTCACTCACTATATTTTTATTTTTCTACCTTGTGTTATCTGACAATAATGTACTCCTTTCAGCCAAACATACATAAGTATATCAGCAGATTAACGATTCCACAGTGACACATGTTGAAGATGTAAATATGTTGAGACGTACCCCTTTGTAAATGTCCACCTCCAGTGTGCCGTTGTTTAAAGGGAAGAGATCCGTGTGAGGGCTGCCAGTTGCATTGCACTCTTCATTCTGCAACCAGGGACACAAACACATATTGACCCACATCTTAGAGCGCTACATGCTGTCTGTTTGCTAACAGCACTCATCACAGAGTAGTACACTATAATGAGAATTTTGAACACTTCAAACCCACCACTTGCATGTTGGTTTTATTGTAGAAGGCCTGCGCAAAGACTGCAACCACGAAGACGTTGATGAGGAAGGACACAAAGAGAGCTATGGTTGACTCGATGAAGTAGTACTTGTTGGCCTCCTTCACTTCATTCTTATTTTTGCGATCAATATCCCGCGACTGGTACATAAGGAAACAAACAGAATAACACCCAACTTTCATTAACACAGCTGTTATTGGTTGGCGATGAATGGCTGTAACACAGCTACACTTGAATTATTACACTGAGTCAATTCATAAAAAATAAGCGACAACTGACTTTCACTTTCCAGAGTTGAAGAACTCGACTGAGAAAATAAATTAATTAATTCAATGATGATTGTGATAATAAGTAGTAACATTAACACAGAAACATTCTGCAGGCCTTTCTCGTATCTACATTAAAATGGATTTTGAGTCATGTGATTGCATGAAACTCCTGAAAAGAAAAACAATCAACATAGTGCAACAAAGTTTTAACTAGTGACTAACCTGAAAGACTCAAAATGAAATTACTATTTAGCTAATACAAAAATATTGTTAGAAAAAAACTCCATCAAACGTGGCTTATTTGAGACTTTTTCCTTTTCCTGAAAATAAATAGGCTTCTTACCTTGACCAGTGCAGAGTGTAAGTAGATGTTGTGCGGCATGATGACAGCGCCAACGATTCCCACAGCCTGTAACAACTGCACCTTCCCACAGCCTGCGCAATACGGCACAAACATCCCCTTCAGCAGCTCACCCTGGTCGGGCTTCACTAAAACGTACTACACACAGGCAACACAAGGTCATCATGATACATCAAAAAAAAAACTTCAGGTGTAAAGAAACAATTTAATTGATTAGGAAATTATGGAGGACGTTACCTCGTAACCGAAGCTGAGAGCCATTATGGTGATGAGTATGCCAAAGAAAGCTTCAAGTTTCCTTAGACCTAGATTGACATACAAACTGCATCAACACTGAGAGTGCACACATTTTAGAAACTGACTGATCAGTAATGAAAAGTATATCCATACCATATTTGTCTAGAAAGAGGAACACAAATGTGTCTGTGATAGTGATGAGGACTCCTGCCCACAGTGGGATACTGGGAGACAAACAGGAGAAAATGTCGACAATTTTAAGTATTTTTATTTAAATGTAAGTGTTGCAATCACTTTTCAGAGACAGGAAGCAAAGACGTACTGGCCCAGAGAGAGAAGGTTGAACGCTATGGCACAGCCGATGACCTCCTGCATGTCTGAGCCAATAATCGCCAGTTCCACCATTAACCAAAGAATGATACGAGGAACCTGACAGAGAAAAACAGAGAAGAAAAATTCAGAGGACTGCAGATTAAACCAGTGATCAGAGTTCTATCATTGCTACTTACTGTTACTGTACAATATTTAGGTTGAGGACATTTAAACCATAGAATCAAAATAGTTTTTTTGTTAATATAGTGCTGTGCTTCAAAGGTTAATGTTTAACAAAACAAAGAAAGCCAATGTGAGTGATGACAGTTGGGAAAGCTCACTGTTGGATATTGGCGGTTGCAGACTTCAGCCAAGTGCATCCCCGTGACAACGCCGAGGCGTGCAGCTAACCTCTGCAACAGAAGCCCAATGATGGTGGCTCCAAGGAGCACCCATAGGAGCTTAGAAAAGAAAAGCCAGACAAGACAGGGTAAATTTCACAGCTTTCAGTCAATACAAACCTTTGTTTTTCTATAACTATATATTGACAAGATGTCTCTGAGTGAATAAAACCACAAAAAACCTCTGGAATCCCTCATTGTGAAACGGGAAAATACAAAAAAATAGAAGATACAATATTGTGCTTCATATTTGACGAACAAGACAAACGGCCAGGACATTGCAGAACAAACTTTAATGGATCACCTTAAAGCCAGCTTTAGCTCCTGACTGAAGGTCAGACTCGATGTTCCCTGGATCCAAGTATGCAATGCTCATCAAAAACCCTGGTCCAGTGAAGGCCCAGAGCTTACGGAAACTGAACACCTAAATAGAAAACCAGAGCTTTATAAATACAACTAATGTTGTGTTTTTTATATTGAAAGTTGAATTCTTTATTTATAACAAAAATATGTTTTGCGTTTCAAAAAATCTTACCAATTCTGATTAGTGTCAAACAAGAGTATAGCTTTGTACTTGAAATAAGATGCATTATCTACAGGTTTGCTGCTTATTTTCTACGAAACCTGATGAGTACCTGGTCAATGTTCCCAGGAATGGGAACCTTCTCTTCAAAGTATGTGCTGGTTAAGTTGTCGCCATGGTCCTCGGGTGAGGCAGGAGGAGTGATGGAGCTGTACTTGTTTGTCTGGACATTCTCCTGAGTGGAGTCCTCTGACAAAGCAACAGAGAATGGAAGTGGTAATTAGTGACAGGAGACGAGTCTGAAAAGTTGCTTTCCCTCCTGCTGAACAAATAGTATCATGAGGTGCCAATAAGGGAAATGATCTTCTTGTCATTCTGATTGGTTATGATAACCTTTCATATATCTGTTAAAGACTACTGAGTTTCAGGATGGGACATAATAAATATAACAGGTTGCTGTAGGCCATTCAACATGATGTGGTTTATTCTGTAGTACTGCATATTGAATGTATGGACAGCTGAATGAGATCCCTTGACAAGAGTTGCAGAAAACTAAAAAAATATATAAAACATAATGCTTTGAACTCATCTACCGGTAATTCAAATTTAATTTCTAGAAAACAAGTCCTAAACCTAACTGTCCACTTCCAACTAAAGCCACACAGGGACATACACAGCAGTCCAGGTTCAGACCTGATTGAACAGATAAGTGTGTTTTTTTCAGACCTTTTTTAGTTCATTGCTTTATAAAGAACTTTAACAACACTTTTAATGATTATTATTTCAAAATAACAGAAAACATATCTTTATTAGTTTATTTCCTTAAGAAAATCTTTTATTCTGAGTCTCTAAGACTCAGGGTACAGGAGCTTTATTAAGAAAACCGCACAAACTTAAAGATTAAGCCAATTTTCCATTTGAATACACAGGAAAACAAACCCGATGCTGATATTCTAGAAGCAATTCAACCTCAATTAGGAAAAGTGCCGCAGAAGTGATTAAATTCAAGAATTTTAATAAAATCTCTTTAATCAGCCTTAAATAATAACCTGTTATTAGAGGTGCCTTTCTCAAATCTGAAACCAGATGTCTATGTTAACAGATTTTTAAGTTAACAAAATGACATGAAAAGGATAACATATAAAAGACCAGTCAATAAAAGACAAAAAAAAACTGTTTAAACACTTAGAACTATTTTAGAAAGAATTGAAAGTTTACTATTAAACAATGTGCACTACTCACTCAGTTTGGACCACTCGTTCTTTACTCCCTTCATCTCAGACTGACTGCAGGTCCTAAAGTCCACAGCTCCCTAACAACAACTCTCCTTTTGATATGACTCAGCACTCTATAATCTCTTTTCTTTTTTTTTTTCCGTCGACAGATGTCACAACAACATTCTGGCATCATGTCACCTAAATTATCCCGACAAGGCAGAAGTAAAGAATGCACACCACTGCTCACTTACTCAACTGACTAACACCTTAGAGCTGACAATAAAGCACAACAACCGACTGCCTTAACACTTGAACTAACTATACAGCATCACACACAGTAATAAAATCACAAAGGAAGCAACAAGCATTACAATATTCAGATTCTCCTCAAATCTACATTTTTGTAAATATGCTATCAAATACTTTTTAAACACAGTCACAGAATGTGAACCCCAGCCTTTACTAAAAACACCCATCAGGGGGCATTTCAGGATATTTCTATTATTTTAAGAAGTTACCTTCAAGGAGGTCTCCGTCTTGCTCAGCTTCCATCAGGGCAAGCTGAAGGATCCCTGGGAACTTGAGGGATGAATATCAGCTCCCCTGGAATAAGACAATAACAGTTATACAATCTAAAAAAGCATGAAAGAGAGTGAAATGTAAACTATAAGGCTAAGTATCAAGTTCAGAAGGAACAGGTTTTTTCTGCAGTAAGTTGAGGCATGACTGTGCAAAATTGTGTTCAACTTTCTCCTTTTAACAAAAGGTCAACTACATTAATATTGACTAGTCATACTAATGAATAGTCCATATAAGTATGTGGCAAGGTCACTACTTTGATGAGAACATCTTACAGAAAGCTTGAGTCAACTACTGACGCAGAAGTTTCACTTCAACAATATGCATCCTTCCTCTTCCTCTAGTCGAAGTCTCACCAACCTTAGCCTCCTTAGCTCTTAACCCAAAAGATTTAAAAATAAAAAAAACATCACACTCGCGGAACATTCAAGTACACACTGTGCTCTGACACAGAGAGAGGCCCCCACTTTGTCTGCAGACTCATGATCCCACAGTCATGTGTTTTCAACAGGTCAAGGTTTCCATCAGAGTGCCACTTCCTCACGCTCAGAGTAACAAGAATTATCAAAGTGATAAGGTTCAAGGTACTTTGCTGAGTAGCAACAATTGGTTTAATAACATAAGAATTTGAGCAACAATAGATTTGACTGGCAAAATGTGACATGTTCCCTGTGCAACAAAACAACCAAGAATAACTTTAAACATAATGTCAAAATGAATTTAAAGTTCAACATAAAATAAGTTTGACTTTTTGGCAACGATTGGTGTTTTGTTAAAGGAGGGGGCTTGAAGTGAAATACTCTGATGTTGAAGCAAATGTTGCCCATTTCCCTCTCCTTAGAATGTAACAAATTGTTCTCTACTGTTAGCAGTCTGCTTACAACTGGGCACTGTATTCCAGACGAAGGCCGTTACTAGGCAGCTTTTACACTGCAGGCTAAACTAAGCAGCTGCTAGCATCAAGATACATTTTAAAATACTATGAATTATCGGCAGCTTTAAGGAATTGACCATAACTACATATGAATAAAGTACATATTATACATTTTAAACTAATACAGAAACAATGAGTATGGTGAGAGCCTTACGAGAGGACGCTTTAGATTTTAACTCGATTTTGATTTATTAATTTTCCTTGAAAAAGCACAAAAGTATGTGTCAGACTATTTCTGTGACTTGAGATTATAGACTTTGATGCTTTCTTTATAACTCTCAAGTCTGTTCTGCTTCTTGATAAGTCTAATGATATTGAATATACCTGTCCCTCTGTTTTGAGCCACCAGGTGTCTCAATTAGGTGTTGAACCGCTTCACCCCCACACATTCACAATCCACTATACAACTTTGACCTCATATAGATAAGGAACAATTTGAGCAGGTAGAGTCTATCACTAGAATTATCACTGAATCTGATTTGGGTATGCTTTGCCCTGGTTTGTCAGAATGTATTAATGGTGACCATTGGTTCCAGTTGAGAATATTTTACTGTCTTTATTGCATCAGCAGCACTGATCTTGTCAAATTTTAGGAGCAATAAAGTTTATGTGCTGATAAAAGAGAATTAGACTGACCAAGGTTCCCACTAGCTACGAATGTGATCTGGTCCACAAAGGATGTTTAACACGTTGTGATAAAAATACCAGTATGATTAAGATTTGGAAAACATTCACTCAAGTAAATCAACTTGATTTAAATTAAAGAGTTATAAGCCTAATAAGAAGAAACCAGAAGCAACCGATCTACTGACTTTCCCCAAAGCATTGGCCTCAACATAAACCTCCATCCTAATCTAAACAGGACAGCTTTTACAATCATTCAATCTATGACAACTCCCTAACTGAAAAAAAGCATCAGAACCAAGGACTGTAAATTGATCTCAACATAATCATGCCAAAAGAAAAATGTTTTAAATGCCATGCAAACTTAAATACACAGCCTTAGCTTATAATGTTTTATTTTAGTAACAAAACCTATATGATAAAAAAAAACCTTATTTACTTTGAGTTACTACTTTCACATGAGGACTCAGCAGCAGCATCAGCAAGACATCAGACTTGTAAAATCCAGCACAGCTCTTAGCAACCCCGCAAACATGCAGCTACAACGAAAATGAACAGTAATCTCTCACTCTGTTCAGTGAGGCAATCCATCATAAAATACTCCAGCGTAAAAAACTGGTCAATCAACAATTGCACAACTCACATGCACATGTCAAATAGATCATCTTATAACCAATGCTTTAGTGCCTACCTGTCTTTTTACATATAGCCATGGGCTTGCTGTGCTGCCCAGCCTGATTTAAGTGATTTCAAAAGTCAAAAGAAAATACTAGAATCCCTACTGTGACTTAAAGCTAGTACAGACTCTGATCCCTAATTCATAATGCATCGATCATACTTGTCAAAAAACCATTCCTATTGCAAATGTCAAAATGATTGTATTTTATATCAAGGTATGAACTCAAGGAGGGCAATGTTCATCGCTGGTGTCCTATGCACAATATGCAGATTAACTCTTGCTCTATTTTGTGTGATTCTGATTAACTTTCACCATGACAGAAGTTCAACATACCAACTCTGCAAATCATTTGCCATATCTTACAGTGATAATGAACCAACGTAACTTCTGAATGTCTGATAAATTGTCTTTGCATGACTGTCTGCTAACCGGAAATATGTAATATTGCATCATTAAGTTTACATATTAGTTGTGCGATTATTATAAAGCTCGGGTTTTTTTTAATGGTTAATGAGGATCATTTAATCACCTTGCGAGTTGATGCACTGATTACATTTCCTGCTGTGACACGTGAATCCGCAAGTTGACTTCACGTTTCACAATTAGTTGAGTAAGAGAGTCATTTCTGCTCAGTTCAACATTTTGCTTTTAAGTTCAACACATTGTTGTAATATCAGAATGATGTTGGACAACAGTCAAACCTTGTAAAACAAATAAAAATCACTCTTAAAAGAATAACGAATGCTGTAAATAAAATGTAAAAAGGTCCCCAAGCAAATTTTAAGAAATAAACTACAACTTTAAACTTTTGACCTCTCGTCCCAGTAACCGAGCTACTGATGCTACAGCTGTTCAACCACTTAAACACAAACCAAGCAAGCGATAAACACGGTGAATGAGTTTACCAAAGACACACTAACACGACTTCGATCAAAAAGGAACATTTAAACCCGGGGGCCGTGGCTAACATTGAACATTACTGCTCCTATGTGTGATCAAGCTAACAAGTTTCCATGATGTCTGCTGCCTGGATACGTTAGCGTCAGTCATACAAAATGTGAAAACACTCTTACCTGCGAATATGTTACAGGAGGACAAAACACGATTTGGGTTAAATGATAAAAGCTCTTATGAAACTGTCGACATGTGTCATTGAGAAAATAGCTTGATAACACGTTATCCGGTTATATTCCGGTGAAGTCTGTCCATGTCAAAGGTAAGTACAACTACGAGTGCGCATGTGCATGAAAACTGACCTGATTGGTCAGTAGTGGAGATATGTCACGTGTTTATGTGATGACGCCATTGAAGCCCTGGGTTTTGTTCGTCAGGTAGTGGTAAACAAATGTTAACCCCTTGATGTTAGGGCATCAAAAGAAAGTATATTCAATGCAGAAATATGGTTCATTGACATAGCTCATTGAATGTGAAACTATGTAGAACCATCAAGTATTATTAATGGTGCATGGATGTCTACTCGTGTAGTTGACAGGTTTTTTTTGTAAACTAAACCACTCTCATTTGATCTATAGCAAGAAATGTATGATATTTTATATAATTATGATGGGCTTTATACGTATCCTCTCCTAATGCAAAGTAAGTAACTAGAAGGATACAATTCATTCCCAATTCACAAGAGTGCACTTACAGTAAGTACAGTATGTACTTTACCACTTTTATCACTGGCTTTTTACAATTTAACTTGTTTTCTTTTCCAATGAAGCCCCTGGAACAATTTTATACATTTTTTTTTTTTAAATGTACCTTTATGAAGATGCCATTTTTTTAATATTCACAATTAAGAAACACAATAAATTAATATTTTAACTTTAATCGCATTCATAAAACCTTTATTGAGATAATAATAATATTACTTTAGGAGAAAAAAAAAACGAAAAGAAAAAAAGTCCGACAAGTTTATTTCTGATGCGATAAAAAACAAAAGTTCTACTAAATCACGTTGCTGTGCGTTCTCTCGCGATATCCTGGTCACTCTGTGTATTGCATTCATGTGGTGTCGGACACATCGGGAAAACGAGTTTCCGAATATAAAATGCACATGAACGCCTGCTCATGTCGGAACAACAACACGTAAACTCGGGAAAACACTAGGTGCCCGACTTGACATCATATTTGTCATCACATAGGGGGGCAAAATATGTTGTTAATGTTAAGATACTTTTTATTAATTTACGTATTGCACATAAACTATTTTCTAAAAATATAACCGACAACAGAGATATTCACACATCTTCTTCGGAATATCCACGACTTTTTTTTTAAGTTGTTACAACAGTCGAACTTTCCGAACTGAAATCACGTGAACGCACTGAAGTCAGAAGAAAGACTTCACAACTCGGAAAATGGGAACATCCGAGGAGCACTTGAATGCAGCATAAGTACCCTAACTACACATCACACATCTCAGTCGCCAACTAAGCTACGAGCTAAGCTAACTAGCTGCGAAGAGTGTCATGTAGTCAACTCTACACTCAAGTTTAAATGAAGACGACTGCAGAGTGATTCAAACATGGAATTAAGGAATATCAAGGACCAGGTAATAAATAAAGCTGTGCAACTTAGCTTCATTAAACTAACTGTTTGTCCCAGCACCAGATGGTGTTAGCAAAATGTTGTGCAAAGTTTGCTACAGGGCTAATTAATGATACATATCACTTGTTATGACAAAACAGACTAAAGACTCAGCTTTATGTTAAAAAAATGATTTGTGTTATGCATGTAGACCCTGCTATAGTGGACATTGTGCTGCGTATTGGATCAAGTCCAAACCCTAACTTAGAAACACTTTTAACATTAAGATTTAAATAGCTCATCTCTGTGGCAAAGCTGCGTTTGCTGAACGCTGTTTGCATCCGACCAATCATCTCTACATGCATGTGGCTTTCTCAAGTTACAAGTGTACTAATGTAATGCTGTACTGTGAATGTTATAAATGCGTCGATAAATTGATTCTGAAATCTTAATGGTGTTTACTCAGCCCACACTAAGTGACAAGACTTTCCTCTTTTGGATTAAATGTCTATTTGTGTTTTGATTGTTCTGATCTGGAGTGTTTTATATCCTTTTGTCACTGTGTTGTATTTATATGTATACTTCTTAAACTTGTTCATGCTAATATAAACATATGGGTCTGAAGTAAAGAAAAGAGTAAACCTTGGCCTGTCTTTTCTGAATTTGAAGATAAGATCTACTTTATTCATCCCAGCAGGGAAAATGTAGGTGTTCCAGCAGCCAGCATACATACAAACACACAATACAAACATACATACATACATACATACATACATACATACATACATACGAGATGTATTCCTAAGATAGTTTATTTCTTAAGTCAAATAAATGCCAGTGCATTCAGGTTTAAGTTTAACGTGATGCCCTTAACTTAAGTGAAGTAGGTTGCACCATCAACTAGGTTTAATACTTGAGTTTATAGTATGGATGATTTTAGAGTCATTATGTGTTATAGAACTAAAGCCATCAAATCTGTCTTTCAGTCTCCATTGGTCCAGGCTATATTCAGCCGAAATGCAGAAGAAGTGACATTTCTGTTGAACCATAACGAAGATGTCAATTCACTGGTAATAGTACCCCTTAATAATTCTGTCATCATGTTGTTTTTTGGCGGATGTGTGGAGGAAACTTAAATGCAGACTTACATTGTACTTGTACAAAGGATTCAGCCATTAATCCCTCCTGTCCATGTTTTAACTTCGACCTACAACTGTAATAACTGTCATCAATTTTTTTACTTTTAGGACCAGGAACAAACCACACCACTTCATGCTGCTGCTTATTTGGGTGATGTCCACATTATGGACTTACTTATTACTTCAGGTAGAAAATCATTTTAAATAACCTTTTTTCAAAAATAAGAATGAAGCCTATTATCCACTTTCTACTTTCTACTAAAGCCTGGCACACACTGTTTAAATACGATTGTTCAAAATTCATGGCGGAAGGTCAGCTCACTGATTTCTGCCGTAGTTTCTTTCATTATAGGGGGGTAAGACAGATTTAACAGGCATACCTGTTGTTGCCATGGAGATTTCAGATGCTGTAAGTCATTTTGTTGTCATTCAGTTGTGTCAGAATTCATCCAATCGGTCGTGAGCAGCAGATCGGGCCGTGATCGGTTGTCATGCCTCAGTGTACACTGCACTGACGCCGGACGATCGGACTGAAATTTGACCCAACTTCAAAATTCGTCTTACAAGTCAAAAATTGATGGGTCTAAATTGGACTGAAATCACACAGTGTACGCTCAGCTTAATAAGTACAATACATAAAAGAGGGCTACATAGATAGAGAAACTGAAATTTACCGAAGACACTGAATAAGTAAAGCCTATGTTTGCTTACTTCTACAGGTGCATATCTCAACGCTAAGGATCAGGGATTGCTGACTCCTTTACATCGGGCTGCTGCCTCAAGAAATGAAGTATTTACCCTTTGAAAATAACAAAGATAGACTTTGATCTTTTAGGGCTTGACCTCCAGAATTAACGTCAACCCTTTGAATTTTGTCATTTCCTTCAGAGAGCTGTGGAGCTGCTACTAAAGCACGGAGCAGAGGTCAACATTCGGGACAAGTTTTGGCACACACCTTTACACATGGCAGCTGCTAACTGGGCTACAGGCTGCGCCTCAGCTCTGATACCACACGTGTGCAGCCTGGATGTTGCCGACAGATCAGGAAGGACACCACTGCATCATGCAGCCCACAGCGGCCATGCAGAGGTCAATATCTTCTTATTTTCTATTAAAACAAGCTAATGATATTTTTTACAACACAACATTTCTTACATAAGAAAATATGAAATTAAATTTGCTTTAGCAATTGATGATGACGGGGATATTTTGGGGCTTTCACAGTTGTTGCGGCAGCATGGAGAAAGGATTGGGTCTTATTATGAATTGATAGTTTTAAACAATATGTTGTCCTCCAATGATAAAAGTAAATATGTTTTCTTGACAGATTTTTACACAAAATGTTGCTTTCCACTAATGTTTTGTGCAGATGGTGGGCTTGCTCCTGAGCAAAGGTGCCAATGTGAATGCCAAAGACAAGAAGGAAAGGCAGGCCATCCACTGGGCTGCATACCTTGGTAAGGGGTGTTTTATGTTGTCAGTCTTTTTGATGAATGATACAACGAGCAGACGTCATAAAGCATAAATATATAACATCAGCAAAAGGCTAACAAGATACAACCAAGAGAAAACGGACTCTGAAAAGTATAGGTGGTCATTAATGTCAGAACATACAAGTTGACACTTTTTTGGGGGATACTGTTCAAGGGATAGAACAACGATATATGTACGTATATTGCTGGGGCCGTTTATACTTTTTGTGGACTAAAAACAATCTTTTAGGTGTAGAAATCACATCACATAATTTGATGTTTTATTAAACAGGTCACTGCCACGAAAAGCCTGAACACTGAACACTTTGCATACAGGCCAGCAAGAGAGACTGGTCTCATTGGATATGTTGTGGCTAGAAGATGGTTAAAGGACATTTCTTTTCTTTCAGGACATGTTGGAGTCGTGAAGCTGCTGTTGTCACATAGCGCGGATGTGATGTGCAAGGACAAACAAGGTTACACTCCACTCCATGCTGCAGCTGCTGGTGGACAGTTGGATGTGGTCAAATATCTGTTGAAGCTGATGGTGGAGGTAATGTGGCTAAAATAATAATATCATTATAATTAATGATTATAGCTGCATTGTTTTTAATGCAGTGTGCCTTCCATTTGGGGCTATTGTATTAAATGTGCTTGCTCCTGCTGCAGAGGGTTGGTCAGAGAATGTATCAAAGAAGATCATGTCCAAGATACCCTGTCCTTATCTACTGATTTGACTCGTAATGGAACCATGATTTACAAAGTGAACATAATGCTGCATTACCACAGCCTTGAAACTAACTATCTAGGCTATAAGAGAAATAGGGACATTTTCTCCTCTCCTTCTGTACAATCAGACTCATTTTTTGCAAAAGGTGGAGTCACCTTCTGTTGGTCATAAGAAAGAATGCAAGTTAAAGGCACTATTGAGTTGAGTTCTATCCACTTCTTATGCACAGTCTCAAAAACACATCATATACCTTTCTCTTGCTTTTGAGAAAGCCAAAACTTACAAGCCTAACTGCTTCTCCTTTCCTGCCCGTGTCATCAGCAACGTCACTCATCTCTTAACATCGTTATTATCGTTAGCTGATCAATGAGGCTCCCCATGCTTTCAAATTTGCAGACATGCTTGATTTTATTTTCACCTTTTTTTTTTTTTCCCTCCTCTGTCTCAGACTGATGAACCCAACGTGTTTGGGAACACAGCGCTCCACATGGCCTGTCACACGGGGCAAGATGCTGTGGCCACTGAGCTGGTGAATTCCGGCTCCGACATCAACCAACCGAACCACTACGGCAGCACGCCACTGCATCTGGCTGCCGCCTCTGCCAGCGGGGTGCTGTGTCTAGAGCTGCTGATCAACAACGGTGCTGATGTGAACGTGCAGGTTATGAGCTTGTTTCTTATTGAGTGGTTCAAATAAAAGCAAATAAAAGAAACCTGTATTTAAAGAGTGAAGCCTCAATGGTGTTATCTACACATGACAACTTGGCCTGCTTTTTAACCTAATTTGTTTCCATTTTCTTTGTTTACAGAATAAAGAAGGGAAGAGCCCTTTGCATATGGCTGCTATGCATGGGCGCTTCACAGGCTCCCAGATTGTAATCCAAAACGGTAAGATAAATTACAAAACAAGTTTAAACTATCCACAGAATCTTCTTGAACATGCTATTTCTTGCTCATAAGACTCTGACTGTTTACATCAGAGCATGCTCTCAATAACATTGCATCTATTTTTACCCTCTTTACACAGGGGGGGAGATTGACTGTTCTGATATATTTGGAAACACTCCTCTTCATTTGGCTGCCAGATACGGCCAGGAGTTACTGATAAGCACTCTGCTGACAAATGGTGCTGACAAGACCAGGTATGTCTGTCTAAACCTGACACTGTTTCATATTTAAAGTCAAAATGTTTTTCTTGCGACAGGTTTTCATTTAGCACCATCTGCCAAAGATGTGAAGTTTCCTTGCTGAATGTTCATTCTACATTAATATAGAATATTAGCTGTACATAGAAACTTTAAAACACCAAGGAAGTCCCTTGATTGTCAAAATGCATCAAGAAAATTTCTTTTTTTTTGTTTTCACACTTAATGTCCAACTAAATACTGATTTTTTTTCCCCCTCAACTCTGAAAGTTAAATGTTCTTGTTATGCTCTCTAAAGACAGGGAGTTAATGGGATGCTACCACTACATTTGGCAGCACTCTACGGGTTTCCAGACTGTTGTCGGAAGTTACTGTCCAATGGTGAGAACCCTCGATCTGTTCTTTCTTTTTTTACACTTTGGTAACTGACACAAAGCAAGGTGTTCCGATTTTAAAAGTATTATTGTTCTGATCCTTCAGGCCAGTTTTACATCATGCCTTCTCAGACATCATCGGCTGGCTTTGATATTAATACGGTGGACGAACATGGGAGGACCTGCCTGCATGCTGCTGCTTCTGGAGGGTGAGTTTAAACACAAACACACATATTTCAATTTCCATATTTGGTCCTCACTGCGAACTCAACCAGTGAGCTTCATTGCTTCACTTTACATAGAGAAAACATATTAAAAAAACATTTTTATCAGTAAACTGATATATGTAATTATTTATCATTATTTATATTTAATATAGACTAATATTTAATAGCCTATATCCTTTTAAGTTATTTATTAAACATGAACAATAAAGAATAATTGTATTGTATAAAGTTCTGCAATAGCTGATATTACAACAGCTTTATAATTTCAAATTGTTAAAATGTTTAATCTTGTTAAACTCCACTTCATGTCTGGTATAATTCATTATGTATCACTGTTTTTTGCCCTGTTAAGAAAGGTGAAAACTTACACAGAAGTCTGAATCTAACATGTAAAATCCCCACTGTTCATAATCCTGCTGTTACAGATGTAAATCAATCAGCTGCTTATTTAAAGCTTACTCTACAACAAGCAATGCCTAGTGGGTTTGATATATATATATTTTTTTATCTTACTTACTCCCCTATGACATAGGGTTGATCAAACGAGATTTAAGAATGACGTTTGTGTTTGAGAAAACTGATCAACAGAAATAAATTAATGGAAAAATGTTGAACACATTTATTGAAAATGAAAATAACTGTTTGTTGCAGCCCTAAAATCTGTACTTCTCCATGTCTTTATGTGTAATAGGAACGTTGAGTGTCTGAACTTGCTGTTGAGTAGTGCAGCTGACCTGGATGTCAAAGATAATTTGGGAAGGTAAGCAGTGGTGAATATGTGGAATTCCTCTCTGCTTTTGTACCTGATATCACAGCTTTCTGTCTCCTGTTGCACCTGGTAGATCTCCTTTGCACTACGCTGCAGCTAACAGGAACAGCCAGTGCACAATCTCTCTGGTGAGAGCCGGTGCTGAGGTCAATGAGCTGGACCTGACGGGCTGCAGCGCTCTACACTACGCTGCTGCTTCACACACTTTTTGTGGGTGAGTATTTGCCTTTGACTCTTTTTAAAAGGGTCTCTCAGTTTAAAAGGGTGGCATCCAGAGGACATTTCTTAACTGATTCCAGGGAATTTTATACGTTTAATTTCTTTCTTTCACAGAGGGGAAACAAACTCAGGGCCTGATTACAGCAAGGAAAGTGATCACGAAGCCTCTCTGTAAGTCCCATATTCATCATGTGAAAAATTTTATCATTTTATTTAGGATCAACTGTATCTTTATATTTTAGTTATAAGATCCACTGTAATCAGTAGTTATCAACACGTAGAGGTCATGTTGGAATATGTGTTGGTAAAACTGCAGCGTTATTAAAAGTGAAATCAGAGACCACAAAGGACGACATCATTGAAATCTGTGCAACTATCAGACCTAACAAGAAAGGTAAAATGTATACTTTCATTACTTTAGAAGATAACAAAATATTTAAGACTGTTTGTTAATAGTTTAGAATAAAATATTTACATGAAATACTTTACAATTACCGCATCAGTCTGAATGTAAGACGACCCTAATTCTAGGACGACCCCCTTTTCAAGACTTTTTTTTTTTTAAATACTTTTTTAAAGAGCGAATCTTGTTTTTTATTAAAAAAAACTATTTTATTTGAAAATAATGATAACACAAACATATTGATGTTCCTGTTTCTAAATCTTGTTAAATAAAGTCATGTTTTCAGTGTCTTTAGATTTCTGGTGCATGTTTAGGCACATCTATGTGCAAAAATTCAAAGTCTGCGGAAACGCGGCTTCTCCTACGTCCTCCTGTTAGCTGTAGCATTAGCTGCATGTGACGCTCGGTTCTAGCCCCCCTCGATAAAAATTTGTCAGTCCGACGTCATTGTCAGTGTGAGATCACTGATCTAAGCCCATTGGCTCGTTGTGGTAAGCCCTGTAGCTCGTTGAAATTTCCGAGACGCGTGCTGAGCAACTGACCAATAACGACAGAGCGGATCAGCAGACCAATCAGAGCAGACTTGGCCCACGTGGGGTCTAACAGTGTGGGCTCAGCAGAGTGCAGCTGACGGACTCAGAGCGTAGAGGGAGCAAGGAGGAGCAGTACATGAAAACAGACACTTTTTTTGGACTTTAGCTATTGTGAACGTACAAAAGTAGGTACATAGATTAAATATACGAACCCCAAAAAGGGCAAAATATGATCTCTTTAAGTTGTCACATTTCTGTGACATTTCCCACAGAATGAAGGTATACCTGTGAAAGTGTTGATATTATGTTAGGTTCTACTGTAAATCAAGTTATTCTTTTTTATTCTCTAACTTAATGTTTTGTTTGCTCACCAATGACTTTAATTCGCTTACTTTCTTTCTCCTTTTTTTCTCTGGTTCTGTCTTCTCTCTCCATCCTCCTCTCTTCCTCCTCTTTTCTGTCTGGGTAGAATCCACATTCAATAAAAAGCTAATTAATACACCTTTCTTTAGTAAAATCATTGTGGATTCGACTGCAATAAATGTGGGGAAACGGAAGTAGCCTTTGCATTACATTTTTGTTGTCACCTGACTCTCTCTCTCTCTCTCAACTCCATCCTGCTGTTTCACACTTACAATTTCTTTCAAGGGAAACCCTGTCTTTTATTCATACCAATATGGTAAATTATTTGGTACTTATAAGGACATTACACAGACAAATGAATGAACAGACCTTGAAGTTTATTTCCCAGAAAAAATTGGGAGTAAATTAGAAAAAAAAATACTACTTTGACAACCCTTGGTTGCTAGAAGACAAATAAAACCCTGACTGAATTATTGGTCCTCTTCTCTGTGTTCAGGTGTTTGGACTACTTGCTTGATAATGGGGCGAACCCGACTCTGAAGAACAGTAAGGGTTACAGTGCCGTCCACTATGCAGCTGCTTATGGGAACAAACAGCACCTGGAACTGGTCAGACTTTTTTTTTTTTTTTTTTTTTTATATGCAGTAAAAAGAAAGACCTTTTCATGTTCCGATTTTGAGGTGTTTTATTCTCTCACTTTTGCAGCTCCTGGAGATTTCCTTCAACTGCCTGGAAGAGGTTGAAAGTAATATTCCAGTCAGTCCTTTGCACTTAGCTGTGAGTAGCATGTGGTCACAATTAATGCTCAGTAAAGGCATGACTTCATTAAGATAACAACATGTTTTGCAGACGGTTGATTCTTCTATTGTGATGAATTCTGCTCTTCCAGGCATATTATGGCCACTGTGAGGCGCTACGTTTGCTGTCTGAGACCTTAGTTAGTCTGGATGTGCGGGACATTGAAGGAAGAACCGCCCTTCACCTGGCTGCTCAGCGAGGTTATGCCACCTGTGTGGAGGTGCTGCTGGAGCATCAAGCCTCCTACACGCTGAAGGAGCGCAGGCACAAGTGGACTGCTCTCCATGCTGCAGGTGTGTGTTTGTGTGTGTTGAAGCCCGATAGGTTTGAGGAACCAACTTAAGTAAGAACGTTAAAATATACAGTAAATATTTGGTTTTAGTTTTGGCTGATGGCTGATGGATGCTTTGGAAGGGTGCTTTAATGAGATGTTGATCCAATGTCTGTGTTACTGATATTTTTATTTTGATGTTTCTCCTTTTCCCTTCCTCATGTGCAGCTGCTGAGGGCCAAATGGACTGTCTGCTTTTATTGGTCAACAGAGAACTTAGTGCTGACATCATCAGTAGTCCAGATACTCAGGGACAGTGAGTCATATTTTGTATTATTTGATTTGTTAAGCAGAGAGAACTCCTATGATTCCCCGCTAGCCTTGACGTTATTGTAGTATTGATTGAGAGCCCCCTGGTGGAGGAATCCATACATTGTATCTTTAAGTCAACATATTGTAGAGATGTGATCGCAAATTTAAAATTACTTTCATAAATGTCGAATGCAGTCAAGTTACCCCATGAAAGTCTGACATGAACATAAAATCCTTCTCTGAGTGGTAACACAAGTTTGTTCTCTGTCATTTGAAGGACCGCTCTCATGCTGGCAGCTCTGGGACGCCACACTGACTGCGTCCACATCCTGTTGGAGAAAGAAGCAAAGGCTGATGCTGCAGACAAAAAGGGCTTCACAGCATTACACAGAGCTGTAAGTGTATTTGCTCTTCTTATGGTTAAACATGACCTGATGTCAATTTAGCACAGTGCTGGATGGATGTGTGTCTATATGTGTGTTTCCCTCTCATATCATATCATGTGTGCAGGCCATGTTGGGGAGTGAGGACTGTGTTTCTGCTCTGCTGGAACACGGGGCCTCAGCGCTCTGTAGAGACTCTCAGGGAAGGACCCCGCTGCACCTCGCAGCTTCACTCGGCCACACAGAGCTTCTCAAAACGTTGCTAAAAGCTGCTATTAAAGCTGACCCGCTGGACTCCATGTTGGACTTCAGAGGCTTCATGCCCACACATTGGGCTGCATACCATGGTGAGGAATCACTGCAAGAGTTCAAGTCAACCACAAAGTTGGTTTTTTTTGTTGAATGAAGCACACATGGAAATAAATTAAGACGAGTTGTCTAAGGGCGCGGTCACATTGGCCAAAACGAACTGGACTTTAGGGTTGAAGCGTGCTTGGGCAAGGTACGGATGGCCAGTGTGACCGCGCCCTAAACTCGTATGAGTGGTTGTGTAGAGTGTACTCGTAGAGTGACAGCAGCTCAGTCTGTCGTCACCGTCTTTTATCCTCCGCATCATTTTAGCAATTGAGAACTTTCTCTCTGTTAAACACTTTGTGACGGAAAAAAATACTGTAACCATCATTTTCCAAAGGTTTCAGATTAACCATTTGTCCACTGGATTGTTCTTGCAGGACATGAGGGATGTTTACACATTTTACTTGAACACAAACTTTTAAGCACCCAGGAAGGAAACCTTTTCACTCCCTTGCACTGTGCTCTGTGAGTAGATTGAAATGCTCATTTTGTATATGTTAATCAAGTAACATCATTTTAGCTTTTCAAAATGTAACAACCCTGTTCCTCCTGCACAGAGTTAATGGACATGACGTCGCTGTTGGACATCTATTGAAGACGATTGGTCCCCAAATTGTCCATGTTAGTGATGCCAAAGGAAGGTGGGTTAAGCACTTAATAGTTTTTCATAAAAGCTTTATGTCATGTGACTGTTTTTTGTATCTTCATTCACACTTAAGTCTAGATAAGGTAATGACTTTTTTTTTTTAATTGGATTGAATTGTTGCTAACTTTTTTTTACTTAACTGTAATTTTTGATGTCTTGAATAATACAAGAAACCATAATGACAGTAACATGTTGCAGGAATACAAATGTATACACCTTTCATAGCTGGAAGAATGATTCTGACAGAACAGTATTTTTTAATGTTGAGATGTCCTGCACATTCTGTATATCTGTTTTGTTTGTTGTATGGATTCAGGACGCCGTTGCATGCAGCTGCTTATTCAGGAAATGTCGCTGGGCTTGAGCTGGTCCTGGCCCAGACAGTAGATGTCAATGTTGTGGACCATAGCGGATGCTCTGCTCTGATGGTTGCTGCAGACTGTGGACAGACGAGGGCTGTCGGTAAGTTGCTGTAACTACTGTGCTCTTTGTCTTAAAATGTGTTTCTTTGATTGATGACAACGTTGGATACGTTAGCTCAAGAAGAGGAAAACAAATATGAGACTGAACATTAAGTTATTTCTTTTTTAAATGTCTTCTTCCTACAGGTGGGTATTGTTGTTCTGACCCTCACACTCCTCACTTTTCTGTTCCTCTATTGCATTGACTTGAAGTTACTCCAACTGAAAACACAACTTAAATGTTTCAAATCTCTAAAGGCCTGTGTTTGCTATGAATGTATTATTTTCTGCATTTCAGAGTTCCTGCTGCACAAAGCAAAGCCAGACCTGACCCTGGTGGATGTCAATCATAACACTGCCCTTCACTTAGCCTGCATCAAGGTCACATACACTTACACACATGCATGTGCTGCATGCATGCAAGAGTACAACAACTGTAGCATGTGTGTAGCAGCAGCAATGTGACAGCTGCCAAATAATGTGATAACCTACCGAAGTATGCTAACATCATAATTGATAATGTGGTTCAAAATGACATCAGTCATGTTTACTTAAAAATGTGTGATTGAACCTGTAATATTATCAACAGTTACTAACTATGCAATCATTTTACCAGTTAAAATGTGATAATTTGGTGTTATTACACTGAGTCCTTGTGGAATTCACTTTATTAATTCAGATTAAAAGGGCAGATTTGATTACATTTGTAGTCTCGAGACAGTCCATTGAGAACATGTGTCATCTTAAGTAAGATTATAGAAATAGTACACCTCTTCACTTATAACAATGTGTTTGACTCTGCAGGGTCATGAGATGTGTGCCCTGTTGATCCTGGGGGAGATCAGCGACTCTTCCCTCATTAATGCAACAAACAGCACTCTTCAAATGTGAGTTTTCTCTTCAGCCTTGGCTGCTACATTGATGCTGTCCATTGGGGGGAAAAACACAAGATTAAAATGCTTAAAGTATGAAATAATGAGCATTGAGTTGGAAAATAAGACAATTAAATGAAAGGACCGTACAGATTCTGTAGTTTGGTATTTAAACTCTAGTTAATTATGCAGTGTGTAATTAAAGAACCTATTTGAAAGGTTAGTTAGATCTGCTGGCTACATTAAAATTTAACCTGGAAGAAGGATATAATGGACATGACAGATTTTGAACAGTCATAACAGTCAGTCATAAGATATCCAGTAAATATTGTAAAATTTTGAAAAATAAAATAATTATTCTTAAGGAAAAAGTCATTATTCTTTCATTGAACTCCCGACTCTCATTGTTTAGTGGGACTGTGGAGCATCTCTTTTAAGGTCGTTGTGATTGTGGAGCTGCAGGCCATCCAAGATGCCACTGAGTCTTAGTCCTGTGTTTTCTAGTTTATTTTCAAAAATGGAGTATAAAAAGGAAATGCATTGTGAAAATGCAGGTGAATATTTATTTACTAAGAGTGGATCAGCTGTATGTTTTGTACCTCAACAAGCCTCCCTGACATGAACACATTTCATAATTGGCTCTGTCATCATCGGCCCCAGTAAACCTGCATATGGATATTTAATATGATTGTATTCCCCCTGAGTGTTCTGGAATAGATCATGTCTGTCTCCGTCATACAGGCCCCTTCACATTGCAGCGAGGAAAGGCCTGGCAACTGTAGTGCAGGTGTTACTGAGCAGAGGAGCAGCAGTCATGGCTGTCGATGAGGAAGGTAAATCATGATTGTTCAATATGATACAAAAGAGTATTATTGCCAAAAGGAAAAAACTGTTTCTGAACAACACCTTAAAGGTAACTGTTTGCCTTTTGACCCTCTGCAGGCCACACACCGGCGTTGGCCTGTGCCCCGAACAAGAACGTGGCAGACTGCCTGGCCCTGATCCTCTCCACCATGAAGCCTTTCCCCCCAAAAGAGGCCAGCGCGGGTGCAGTCTCCCACTACAACTCCATCCTGAAGAACTGCGGCATCACTGCCACCTGTGGGTCCAATGGTAACATGTGTCATGCCTGAGTCGAGTGCCAAGCGGGCACTGCTGGCTGATGGGGTGTTTGACGGGGTGAAATTTCATCCTAGTGTACCTTAAACCCTCACACATTTACCACACACAAGTAGAAGTCTCCAGGGACACGTGTGGACATGCATAGCACTATGGCATTTGTACATGTGTGTATGCATGTACTCAATATACTCTTGCACCAGTAGCATTGATTGCTTCTTTAAACCTAGTCTTACACGTCATAAATAGTAGCATACCTCTAAGATTATCCTATTTTTCATGTGAGTTTAGTTTAGCACATATATTTGTTATCTAAATGAAGTACTAACCATGAGATGTGAAAGTTTTATTATAGGCACACTACAAAAAGCCTCTCTACACTTGAACGTGACGAGTGCAAATATACTCAGATGATGGCATGTTTAATACGTTTATGAGTGTGTCTGCAAGTGCTGCTGTGCATTATAGACGAAGCTTCTTAATGTATTTACGTACTCTTAACAGGTGCTGTAAACCTTTTATGCAATAATGAGACTCTGATTATCCCGTTCTGAGAGTAGCAGACACTACAAAGATATAAATAACCTTATTTTACTTACATTATCACCTTTTACCTTGGTCGCATTTCAGTTCAGCTAAAGGAGCAGTTACAAGCCTGGGTATATTTGAAGTAAGAGAAGAAACAGAGTCTAGTGTAAATTGTTTTTCAAATGAAGTTGTTCTTTTACTTGTATTATCTTGACTCCCAAATGATTGAGAACTTACCTCAGGCCACTGTGGATGCAATAACAAGCACAATTTGAGCTTGACACTATGCTACAAATGAAAGTTATGTTTGAGTGAAATAAACCAGAAATGAGGAAAGGGGTTTAAATAAATGAATATGTATTGATATGAACAGTGAAGATGCAAAGGGAAAATCTCCCCAGCTTTGAGCTCTGTTCTTGGTACATGTTACTTTTCTGTAAGTCTGCAACTACAGATTCATTTAATGTCTGACTGCTTGATTCTTTGTCTTGTCATGATAGCCCAAAGTGATGTCTTTAAGAAGCTGTTTTTTTAGCAGTTCAAAACCAAACCATTTTTAATGTATACAGATACAAGACTAATGAAATCCTCAAATCTCTAATATTTAAGAAGCTGTAACCAGATAATATCTTTGCTTTTTCAGATGGTGAAAAAGTTGGCAGTGCCTGCAAAATAAGGTTTCCTTTAATCGTTGTTTTACTTGTTATCAAAATAAGCACAATATGCCTTTCTTGGTACAAAGCTGTCACTCTCTCTCTCTCTCTTTTAATATAAAGCTTTTATAAATGGAATTGTACATTAAGTGTTTTATCTTCGAGCTGTATACACACAGACTTTAATGTGTTCTCCCAGTAATACCTGTTGTATTTCCTAAAGTGGCTTTAAAGATTTGCACTCTGACATTGAAGTTTACATTTTACGGTAGGATCTCCTTTGGCTTATGCAAATAAATGATAAACCTTCTAGTCCATTCAAAGAATGCAACTTTCAGACAAGTGAAAGACACCATTTAATTTTAAGCATTTCAACGGTTCCTTTTGATGAATCAAGTTTTAAAGTGAGGTTTTTCATTTCTGAACACGATTAGACGTGAAATCCTTGAAACAATGTTTGCAGAATTCGCTCTGAAGATTTTCATGTGAACTAACTGAGGATCTTCTGTTCGTCTTAACTCAGATTTCAGGATGATACTCACAACTTGAATATTCTGTACGACAGAAGATAAATAAATGATCTCCATTTAAAGAGTCCTTTCATTTGTTTCTTTCTTTCCATCTCCTGTTGTGTAAACTTTCCATCTCATAGAGAGTAAGCATAAAAATGTTGAATTCAACTGTTTTATTATTAATGAGGCATTTACAATATTTTTAAGAAAGGAGACGACAAGTGGACGCGACATGGTGGAGTGGTGTAGATAGATGTGAATGAAAGGTTTACCACTGCCCAGCCTCTTGACAAGCTGCACCCTCCTCCTGTCTTCTGTCACAGTTGCTGCTTATTTTCTTGTGAATCCAGTTCCAGAAGCCCCCCGTCTCCCTTTTCTCCCTCTCTTTCTCCTCTCCCTGAACTCCCTGCAGCCTCCTCCTCCTTTTTCTCTCCCTGTCCGGCCAGAGCTGAGTGTCCTGCAGCCTCTTCCACCTCAATGCTGCATTTTTGCATCTTTTTGCCCCAGAAGCCTTGCTTCTCCATTTTCTGTCGAAGCTCCTTAAAAAGTAAGGAATAGTTCAAAAACAAACATACAAATAAAAAAAAAAACAAATGAGTGTGCCTTACTTTAAGGGACACCTTCCTCCAACACTCGGCATGAATTTTCTGCAAGTCAAAATCTTGCTGGGGTTTGGACTCTGTCCTGAACATTTTCAGTTGGTTATCAAAGGCAGTTTTTGTCTTTTCCAGTTCTTTCATCCAGAATCCAATTTCTTTTTCTCTCCAACTTCTGTGCATTAAGATTTTCTCTGAGTGAAGAAAATTTGTTATTCATCTGCAGGATATTTTCCTTTCTCATGTTGTTCTCATCCTGGCTTGCCTCTGTCTCTGTAGCCTTTAGAGCTGTTTTCAAATATTCAAAGATTTTATTAGCCAGATGAATCTTCCTGTCCCGAATCATATTTAAAATGCTGGTTTTTGTCACCAGTTTTATGTTTTCTTTTTTCAGTTTATTCATCTGCTGCACCAGGTGGCTATTTTCAGAGGATAGACTCAGATTATCTTCATCAGCAGCAAAAAGAGCTTTTATGAGAGATTCCTTATCCACGCTGTAAGGCTCTCTTCTATGTACTCCATTAGTACTCTTGGTTCTGTTAGTTTGAGCCGGACTCAACACCTTTAAGAAAAAAATACACATTTTAGCTAAAACCTAAAGTCCTAAAACAAGTCGTAACCTCATCTGTAAAACATTCAGATTTTCTAAGCAGCAACACCAAATTGTCACAATATCCAATCAAAATCCTGTATTCAAAATAGATTTTTATGGAATTTATCGAAGGGTTATACAGTAAGTCAAATATATCACATTGACAGAAAAGCTACTGATATTTAGGAACTGGCATTTTAGGTGACTTTATAAATACCTTATGAACTATTGGTAATTAAGTCCAGTGTTATTTATTGAATATAAGTAGCCTAGTGGTGTAGACAGCATAACATGACACTCTACAAAGAACTGTCATTGTACTTCAATACAACACTTGAGTAAGGGTACAAAGCTTATTTCCAACCTCTATCCATCCTCAGTTTTAACTATTGAATATACTTTAATCACTTCACTAATAATTAAGTCTGTTATATTTTGACTATATATTGGCCTATTGCTGACTTTTTGAACATCCAAAAGAAGAATTAATTTTTGACAGATTAATTCAAACAGTTCGGAGGCTAAATGAATTCCCTGATTACGAAATCGATTATTTTGTTTAGACAAACATATTCAGACCAAAATTCAAGAAGTAAAATAGTAATATGGCTTCTGTTAAAACTCGATGCTGAATAAAATGTTGCCAAAAAAAATGCAATTGTCTGAAAAAAACAGTCTCACCTTGCGTCTTTACCTATATCTTATTTCCATGATGAAAGGACAAAGATCACTGACTCAAGAGGAGCAACTATGTTCTCATTTGTGTATAAAATGTACATAACAAAACAACAACAGGGAAAAACATGAAAAGAGACCACGGGTTAAAATGATTCTTCTAATAATTATAAAACCTTCAATAATGTTATTCGGTCTCTTTTCAATAGGAGCCTATATTTTTAAAGGGTTTTACAATAAAGTTCTACTTTTCATAAAAACGTCAATAGTAATTGTTTCTCAATACATTTACATTTGTCAATTACAATTTATTTTTTTTGGGGGGGGGAATTAAATGATGCGTTCAATGGGTGTTCCGTTGTTTAAATATCTTGAGGAGAAAAGATGATTGTATCAATCCGCAGAAATTTGACCTGTTTAGGGCAACAGTAAAACAACAACCACAACAAACAAACAAACAAACAAACAGGAGACAACTGCGGAGAAAATCAAGAGTTGTGTTCCATGATAAGAAATGACCTTAAAAAGGTTAAAAGGCACAAGTCTCTGCAAGATAGATACAAGATCCGGATATAGGTAGATGGGATTTTATTTTTGAAGCAAAGTTTGATACTATAAGACTCTCTATAAAATGTCACAATTCAACAATGACACACATTAATACATGATGAAAGTAATTCTGCATATATTTGAATGTTTTCCTTTTAATAGATTAGTTTACATCAAGAGCAAACCCAGTTACCAGACATGAGGAAGGCCTCCAGTTCTTCTTCTCTTCTTATGTTCATGGAGTATCTGCAGGTAGCCTGTAGAGGCTGATAAAGATGTAAGATTACTTTCTGCGACGAAAAAGCCTTTTTGTCCTCTCTCGGTTGCTGTATCTGGTCCAGGCTACACCGGTGAATCGCTGCCTTCAACATAACTGTGCAGAGTTATTATCTGTGTAGTGAAAAATGGCGAACGTGGTGCTGGAGTACAAGGCTTCTGCCGGGGACTCCGACCCACAGAGTCGCCCTGTTCTGATTATTGGACAGCAGACTAGCCTACAGCAAGTCAACTGGAGCCAAATCAAAGGAAAACTGCAGCCAGCCGTGAGCAAAGAGGTAAAATTATGAATGAAAATGAGAGTTGGATGAATGTAAGTCTCCGCTACGTCAGCCTCGGTAAGCTAACACTGCTAGCTGAATCAGTGTTCACAACACTAAGGATAAGCTCTCAAGCGCCGAGCGATGAGGTACATCAGATAGTTTTACATTTAATCTACGCGCATGTAAATGAAGAGGTGTTTTTGGTTGTATCAGTCGGTAAGAAAGGTGAATTATAAGGCCGATTTCGTTGGATGAAATAACATTTTCTCATGCGCCAAGTTTAAAAAGCTGTCTGGAACAAGCTGTTCTCTTCAGGCTGTTGTTAAATTAATCAACACAAAGCAATAAAATATGTTTGAATTCAGTCACTGTGGTTGATTTCCTGGTTCTAAAAGTAGGTTCATTTTTTATTTTTTTTTATTTTTTATTTTTATTAAAAATAAAATAATTAGAAATAAATAATGTGTTTTCCGTGGAAGTACTTAAAGTCAAACTGTGTTTTATGTTGTTCATGAATGTAGGGTCCTTTGCTTCAGTGGTCACGCCCAGCCGAACATGCTCTCAGATGGTAGCAGTGTGCTGGACTGTCGTGCAAAGTCCTCCTTAATAATTGTGCAATGGTGTCAGCCTTTATATTAAGAGAGTGAAGGAAATGGTTTCAACAGGTCCTCAATATTCTCTGGCAATTATTACCCAACATGATTGTTTTTTTTTTTAATATATTAATTTAAATATAACTTCAACATTGTCTGTGTGTAATGATAATGTAGTTTGAAAGATGTTCCTGGAGTATGGGCAGCAGATGAGAAAAACTCGCTAATATTCAGGTATGCAAACACTGTCGATAATACTAGGATTTGAATTTAGGATTATTTGATCATCTTTTAATATAACATAAAATTATTTGTTTAATCTACAAGATGTCAAACAATTGGTAAAAATAAAATAAATGGCCCTCAAACTTTTGAAAACTCTAGGTAACAACTTCATCTTGCTTGTAATGGCAATTTTGCTTGATAAATGACTTTTATTCTAACAGAATCTGATAAACTTTTTTTTTTGGTCAAATAAACTAATCCATCCACTAATGGCTCTCGTGTTTTCTCAGGTCTGGCAGGCGGCTCTCGCTGCTTTGAACCCAAACCCCACAGACAGCTGCCCTCTGTACCTCAACCATGCTGCAGTGGCCGCACTTCCTTCTCGGGTTAGCCGGCACAACAGCCCGTCTTCTGCCCACTTTGTGTCCCGACTGGTCCGTTCCTGCCTGCCTGGAGGAAACAACCGCTGCATTGTGGTCAGTGTCCCCTTCAGAATTTAGTGTGTTCTTTTTATTTCACATTGAAGTTAAGCATCCTCTCATGGGGTCATTTTCTCTCTCACAGTTCAGAGACTTCTTTAGTGACAGAACAGACCAGCTATTTGATGATTGATAATTGTGTGACTACTTCTAAGAGTCCTTTTGCTTTTAAATCTGGCTCATCCAGTGGAGAGACAGTTTTAAAAGAGGGTAAGCTCAGTAATGGCAGCGGTAGCTTTCTGTGACACATCCCGTAACTATCTGCAGCTACCAGTTAACAACCTTACTTTAAGTGTTTCCTGGTCACTAACAGGTTATCATTGGTGATGCAACAATAATAAATATTTAAAAAATGATCAATGGCTAACTATAAAACTAGTGATGGTTGGGGAGCTACCTGAGTTGCCACAGCAGGTGTCTGTACCTGCCGTGACTACAAAAACTCAAAAAGGCACAGCAGCATTGAACTTCCTGAGTGTCCTCAGGAGAAACAACCTCAATTAAAAGCTCTTTGTGACCTTTAACTGCTTCACCATAGAGGGTGTGCTGACATATACAGCCTTACTGTGTGGTATGCAGGCTGCTCATCAGCTGATTTAAAAAAAAAAACTTTACAGAAGGTCATTGACACAGCACAAAAAATCATCGGCTGCCCCCTTCCCTCACTCCAAGACAATATAAATACCCGCTTACTCTCCAGAGCTACAAAGATTAAAGATTTCCCTCACCCTGGATACCACCTGTTTGACCCCCTGCTCTCAGGCAGGCGCCACAGGTCACTAGAACACGGACTACCAGACTCTTAAACAAGTTTTTTCCCAGAGGCCAATCACA